TATATATATTCCTGTTAAATAACAAACTATATTGCTTTTTCAGTCTATTATCATTTACATTTTGTTTTACAATGTGGGAACATGGTGTCATTTAATAGGCCAAGGTAGTATGAATGTCCATATTCACCTTTGACCAACAGATTATTTGGTTTGCATGCCATTCCTACATCATTTGCAGAAAGACTACTTATGTGTTTGTCACTTTGTTGTCCAAATTACTTGATTTACTTATTTTAAAAAATGTATTTCATAGCAGGACATTGTGGCGGGCACCTGTAGTCCCAGATACTTGGGAGGCTGAGGCAGGAGAATCACTTAAGCCCAAGAGTTTGAGGTTGCTGTGAGCTGGGATGCCACAGCACTCTACTGAGGGTGACACAGTAAGACTCTGTCTCAAAATATATATATATATATATTTCATAGTAAACAAATCAACTATGTAATTGAGATTTTTTTCTAACATACTTTAAAGAAAGCTTTCAGTATTAAGTCTGAACAAAGATATTCACTGTAGTTTTTTTTTTTTACAACATAACTTTTCAAATTCATTAAATTTGTGTTGTTGCTTCTCAGTGTAAATTTTCTAGTGCTTGGTAGTTCTGGAACGATTGTTAAACCCTATTCATAGGGTTTCTAGCTATAAATTCTATGATATGTATTAAAGTTTTGATCATTGACTCCCACTAAAAGCATTTCTGTTCAACATGAATTCTTCGATGAACTATGAGAGTAGATTTTTTGCTGAAGGCTTTTCTACAATCATTGCATTCATAGGGTTTTTCTCCAGTATGTATTCTATGATGTATGGTGAGGTGTGACTTCTTGCTAAAGGCTTTTCCACATGTACTGCATTCATATGGCTTGTTCCCAGTATGTATTCTCTGATGCACAATAAGTTGTGACTTCTGGATGAAAGCTTTTCTGCACTCACTGCATTCATGGGGTTTCTCCCCAGTATGAATTCTCTGATGTTCAGTGAAGTGTGAACTCCGAGTGAAGGCTTTCCCACATTCACTACATTGATATCGTTTGTCCCCAGAGTGAATTCTCTGATGTACAAGGAGATCTGATTTCTGAATAAAGGCTTTTTTACATTCATTACATTCAAAAGGTTTCTCCCCTGTATGAATTCTGTGATGAACACTTAGTTCTGACTTCCTGTGAAAGGTTTTTCCACACTCATTACATCCATAGGGTTTCTCCCCAGTATGGATTCTTTGATGCACAATGAGCTGAGAATGCAAAACAAAAGCTTTCCCACATTCACTGCATTCATGTGGTTTCTCCCCAGTATGAGCTCTTTGATGCACACTGAGAGTTGACTTCTTGACGAAAGTTTTTCCACATTCATTGCATTCATAGGGTTTCTCCCCTGTGTGAATCCTCTGATGAATAATGAGGCTTGACTTCTGGATGAAGGCTTTCCCACAATGACTACATTCATGGGGTTTCTCTCCTGTATGTGTTCTCTGATGTACAGTAAGTTGTGGCTTCTGAATAAAGGCTTTTTCACATTCATTACATTTGTATGGTTTCTCCCCAGTATGAATTCTCTGATGCACAATGAGTGCTGACTTTCCACTAAAGGCTTTCCCACACAGTATACATTTATATGGTTTCTTGCTGGTAAGAAGTGTACGTTGTGCAAAGAGGTGTGACTTCTGCACAAAGGTACTGATATGCTTATTAACTTCTTTGTTCACAGGAACTACTTTCTCTAGGACATTATATTCACAATCTATTTCTTCAGTCAGTGACTTACTGTTAAGTACAACTTGGTTCACAAGCTTGCCTTGGTTTTCCTGATGATTTAGTTCATCTTCAAGTTTCAAGTCTTTAAAAATTGAATCTACTATCATGTTATAGAGTATCTCTTCAGAAAGGCTCTTTTGAATTAATTCTTTAATTTGGGGTCTAATTTCATAGTCTGAAAGAAAGCACAAGTATAAATGATGTTACTTTGCTCTTCAACTTTGAGGATAACAAAATAAAACACACACAAAAAACTCAAATAAAATTCTTCATTTTAAAAGAAATCACTAGAAATTTGCAAATGAATATGATCAGCTTTGTACTTTAAGATAAAGAATAAAACCTAAAGATAAAAGAAGAAATCAAAATAAAAAGTAGGCAGAGAAATAGTGGAAAAAGAGTCAATGAACTCAGGGTCACAGTCCCACACTCTTACAGTTCACCCCCATTTTACCACATGGGTCTGTAAACAGCAAAGGCTGACCAAAAAAATAACTGCGGGGAAGACAGAGAAATGATGCTAGCAAAGGGACTTGAGGGTGAGCTGAAAAGGTCAACAGAAAGATTAAATCCATATTAAATCTAGAAATACATAAAAAGTAACTAGACAACTTAAAGCACAAATACAGGCAAAGGATTTTAAAGTAAATGCATCTTAATAGGTCAGATAACATAAAAAGGACAAGGGACAGAATGGAACATACTCTATTTAAAAGAACAAACATAGTTAAGAGGGATAAAAAAGTATAAAAATAAAGAAGTATTCTGTAGTAATTTGGTGGTAGAAACATGGAAAAGAAGAAAAGGAAAAAATTTAGGGTCCTATAAATCAAAGGAGAACGAAAAAACTAAAAACTCCTTCCCTGTCACAGAGAGAGGAAGGTAGAAGCCCTCCTATAGATCTTGAACTAGGCTATATTAATAGAAAAGAGCTCCATAAAATTAGAAATTTTGTAAAAACACCATGAAATAATAATAATGAACAGAAAAAAATGAATAGTCCATCAAGAACTATTATGAAAAATCAGGAAATGTGTAAAAATCAACAGAGAAAATTGTCCCTTGCAAAAAACCAAAGACGCTAGGCATGTAATTAAAGAGATTTTTTTCTCTACATTCTAAAAATAATATACTCAAACAAATATTTGAGAATGTGAAAACTGCTTGCTATGAATTAGAACTTCAAAAATAAAAACTGAAATGAACAAAAATCAGGGAGAAATAAAAAAATCTTTAAATACTTGGAACAAAAAGTATATATAAGAAAACAGATGTGACAAGATTTTCAAATGTTGATAATGATGCCAGGTGATAGGTAAATGAATTCTTTATGCAAGCATATTACTTTTGTGTATGCTAGAGAATTTTCATACTATCACATAAAAGATGTGTGTGTATTTGCTTAATTTCAAGCAAAAAGAAATATATGCTGAAAGGATAAAACAGAAAGCAATATAAATAGCTATCTATAATGACAGAGATTGAGGAAAAGAGAGTGAAGTGGCGATAGGAATGAAAGACTTGTGAGAGTATTTTTCATAAAATTTAAATTTTTGAACCATTAAAATATTTTGTTTTTGAAAAATTAAAATTAAGTTATAAAGGAAAAAATTAAATCTCTAAAATAAAAACAAATGGAAAGAAATGAATTAACTGTATGTTAAGTTGATGAAGTAACCACAAAATAATATAAATATTCCAAATGGTCTTTGAACACTATACTCTAAGTCTTTTTTGAAATATTTTCTATGAACACAAAAAACTGCCATGAAATCTTAAACCTCATTAATTAGTTCTCTCATATAGTGATGTTAGTATTGTAACTCTGAACTATATACATATATATTAGTATCAAACTAATACTTTATAAGATTTTTAGGTATACAAGAAAAGATATTTGAATATAAAAGCATAGAAAGAAAAATATTTCTGACCCTTGGTGTCCTACTAGTACGAAGAAGTTGGACTAGAAGGCCTTTAGCAAGTTTATAGTTCTCTGATTTTTAAAAGACAGGACCAGAATAAGGCAGAGAAGAGAGCGAGCCTTGATACATTTGCTTTCTGCCAGTTTCTCCAGAGAGGCCATCTCTTCCACCTCTGCGTTAGCCATATCACACAAAGCACTGCATTTCTGGAAGAAAATGAACTAATAGGCTTGAAGTCCTCTGCATGCACCAAAGACCTTGTTAGTAGGGAATGTGATCTAGTTGGTTTAAGGTAGTATGCAGGTACAGAAGCTTGCAACCACACCATAAGAATGTTCTAGAGGAAATCTTACTGTTGCCACCCCCTGCTTAGCAGCTGTGATGCCAAAGATCAGATCAGCAAGCACAGACAGACTACAGGCCTGCACTTCACTTGCACACACTCCACGTCTTAGAACTAAATCTACTTGGCACAGCCTAAAGCACAGGTAGAAAGAGTCTCACAAAGGTGCTTTTCCAGTTTCCAGACCCTACAGTGCAGGAAGATACTCTAGAATGGGAGTAGAGAGGACACAGAGTGGTATTTTGCCTCTCTCATGGATGGCAAACCAGAGAATGAGAGGCCATCTGGAGACCTGATTATGTGTGGAGATCCTGGAGCAAGACCACCTGGGTTCACCTCACATCTTAGACACCTGGGTGACCTTGGACAGTTACTCATTCTGTGCACTTCCCACCACCCCTGGTTGGTGGGAGGTTTCAGAGCAGTAAAATATAAAGTTCTTACAACAGGGCCTGTCACATGCTGAGTGCTCTACAAATGTTAGTTATAATTATATAATACAGCATTATATAATAAAGTTTTGGCTTTTAAAATATTTATATAAGATGAACTAAGATCTGTGTGCATCTTTACCAAAATAGTTTCTATGGATTGCACCAAATGGAACATATGATATTTGCATAGTACCAATGAGAATTTTTTTCTCTCTAGACTTTTGTCCCAATTGCTTTTGTAATGTTGCTATTAAAGAATGGAGGGGAACTTGTCATTCATCTGCCTTGAGTGAGGTAATTGCCACAGACTGTAACTGCCATCCCAGGGAAGGTAATGAAAGCTTTCAGACATCATTCTTCTGGAAAGGAGCTGTAAGTCCTGCCCTAGGCCAATTATTTTGAGTTCTGTACAAAACCTTTTATTTCCAACTTGGATTAAATATGTTGCCCAGACTGGAACTAGCATGGAAAATAACAAAATGCTTTTTAACATTGTTTTGAGTCAAGAACTTAGGGATGTTAGGCTCAGTGCCTGTGGCTCAAGCGGCTAAGGTGCCAGCCACATATAAGCTAGCAGGTTCGAATTCAGCCCAGGCCTGCCAAACAATGACAGCTGCAACCAAAAAATAGTCGGGTGTTGTAGCAGGAGAATCCCTTGAGCCCAGGACTTGGAGGTTGCTGTGAGCTGTGATGCCATAGCACTCTACCCAGAGTGACAGCATGAGGCTCTGTCTCAAAAAAAAAAAAAAAGGAACTTAGGGATGTTGAAACAATAGCAAAAGCTTTTGGCAACTCTTACTATCGTGACAACTGGAAATTTCCATCCCTATAGTAAAAAAACAAAATGAGGAGCAGACCAAAGGTGAAGAGCTTCCCCAGATTTGGAGAAATGTCTAAAACAGCCACTCAAAGGCGAAGAGCTTCCCAGATTTGGAGATACATCTAAACAGCTGCTCAAAGGTGAAGAGCATCCCCAGATTTGGAGGTACCTCTAAAACAGCTGATCCTGCCATGTTTTGAGCAACTCTGCTTATCAGAGAATTGTCTCACATAAGACTTGGTAATCTGCAAATGTAACCCCATGTCTAGGTCTGCAGCCTTATACTCTATGAAGTCACTCTCCTTCCTCCAGTGTTTCAGTCCTGGGATAGTTTGTTAAGGACTGTCAACTGTTTACATCTGATACAGCATAGCACTGTCACTGAGGACATGGTCATGAGCTCTCCCTGATCGTGTGGCCTCAAGAAATGCAGTTACCTTCCCACATGCATCTTGCTATCTATGACGTGAGTGATAATGAGGCCCCTAATTCACTGGATTGTGAGAACATTAAATTAGATAATACAATAAAATATTAGTTATCATTAATGATATCATCATTATCATAAGCTCCAACGGGTCTTAAAGTTACCTAATACTTTTATTTAAAACATCCTTATCAGATGCAGTTCTATCTTTGCATTTGCCTCTGATGTACAGGCTTCATTTTGCCAACCTTTTCTATGTGGTAGTGAGAAGTAAGCACCATACTGTCCATATCATTGCAGACTATCAGTGAAGTTTTCCTGCTTGCCAGTTTGTTCTTGCTCTATACTTCTATTAATGCCACCTATTATAATAGATATGGGAGCTCAACACATGTTGGGTTTATATTGACTTTATGGAAAATTGAAATTTTTTGGTCTTTTCCTGAGGAGCTAATATTATGCCCAGTCTTTCCCATTCTATAGTTTTATATGTTTTTCTTTAATCCTAAGTGATACATGATAAAAGAATTCTGCCTCAAGGCAGCTCTGATTTGGCTGTGATTTGTGGGTTCAGACCCTTTTGGTAAATAAAGTACAACTAAATGCAGATGATTCCTATGGTATGGTATTTAAGATCCAATTGTATATCTGTCTCTATCACCAGACTCTGAACTATATGAAGCTTGAGTTTCCTTCTTGATTATCATTTAATCTTTTGGCCAAAATTGTGCTTTCTGTACATGCTCATCTTCTGACTTCTATAAAGCAAAGTAGTGGTTTGCTCTCTGTGTCTTGATCACACATGTGCAGATAATCTTGATAGATTTGTGAGCAATGCATCAATTTCCTCATAATGTAGTATTTCCAATGATGCAGTAACAAGGGCACACATCTGGCTTACAAGCATTGCTTCATTCTAATGCAATCTTGTAGCTGCCTAGAGGATGTAATACATGTCATCAATAACACATTTCAGAAAGAAAGAAAGAAAGAAAAGAAAGAAAGAAAAGAAAGAAAGAAAATAGTTCAAGGATCTATAGGAATCTTACTTCCTATCTTACCTGCATAGGGCCAACTTGAGATTCCTTTCTCCTCCATCCATGGTTCTCCTTGCTTCAACAAGATTAGATTTGACTTCAGAGACGGATGCCCTGCTTATGGGAAATGACAAAGGACTCTGACATTAATGGACAACCAACCTTCTTAGAAGTAGGCCTGCTACATATGCACCATAGTGGCTACTGACATTACCAAAGCTTGACAAAACTCTCATATGTTGCTAGTAGGATATAAATTGTTATAACCTCTTTGAGAAACTATCTAGTAGTATCTACTAACACTAAATATACATATGCCTTATGACTCAGCAATTCCACTCTTATATACCCAATAGAAACAAAATGCTTTTTTCAACCAGAAAATATCTGTAAGACTATTCCTAACAGCTTTACTCATAATAGCTCAAACCTGAAACAACCCAAATGAGCATCAACAGTAAGATGGATACATTGATGAATTACTGTATACTTATTAAATGGAACATAACCCAATAATAAGGGGGAACAAACTACTACTACATGCAACATCATGAATGAATTTCACAGGTATTATATTAAATAAAATATGCCAGACAATAAAAACATACTGTGTAATTCCACTTACATGAAGTTCAAGAATAGACAAAGTTAATCTATGGTGATAAAGTACAGAATAGATGTTACCTCTGAGGAGGTAAATGGTAAGGGGCTCGCACAGTCTGCCAGGGTGATAGATAAATGTTCTGTATCTTGATCTTGGTAGTAGTCACACGGCTATATACTTATGAAAAAATGCATCAAGCTCTATAAGATTTGAACACTTTTTATATACATTATACATCAATTAACTTATGTGCATATAAACTAAGAAAAACTTGGGCTCCAAGTCTTTTGCCTCAAAGAATGAGCAGGATGAAGTATTCATTTTCTTTTTATCCAAGTTCCCTGGAGAGGTAGAAGCACAGTATTTGGTACTAAAAAAATTAATGTTATTTTGACACAGCTTGAAACCAAGCTCATTAACATTCAGAGACCCAACAGCTTTTAGTAAATAAGAAAAAAAAGTAATCAATTAAGTACTCTCATTGGTTTAAAATTTGTCCATAAATTCTTTGACAAGCTTCCTTTCAAGAAGTAGAGCTGAATTCTCCCTTCCTGGTGCAAGGGACTGGACTTAGCAACTGACTTCTAATAAATACAATAAGTGATGGTGTGACGGTGAAAACTTAGTTACAAAAGATAACTTCCTCTTTGTTCACTCACTTGGATCATTCTACCTGGGGGAAGTTAGCTGCTATATTATGAGGAGAGGAACTGGGGCTTCCTGCCAATGAACAACAGTCTCCTGTCAACAGTTCTGTAAGTGAACAACCTTAGGAAAAAGACCGTACAGCTCCAGTCAAGCTTTCAGGGGAATACAGCCCCTGACAATATTTGACTGCAATCATAGGACAGACTACCACCAAATCTACTCAGCAAGTCATTTTAAATTCCTAATGTACAGCTAGTGTTAGTAAAAAACTGTTTTAAGCCAGTAAATTTTGGACTGTTATAACAGGTAACTAACACAAGTACTCTCTGAGGGAAAATGTCCTTACCCACTGAAACAAGGTTGCTATAGTTTTCCAGCATCACATCCCTGTATAGTTTTCTTTGAGCAGAGTTCAGCCACTGCCACTCCTCCTGAGTGAAGTCCACAGTCACATCCTTGAGTGACACAAAGTCCTGTAACAAGACCTCTCTATTCAATCTAAAGCAAAAAAAACCCACCGATGTGTAAAAGATGTATGGGAACTTACTACTGTTTTTGGAATGAAGAGTTAATCATAGTAAGTTAAAGAAGATGTTTATTATGATGCCAGGTTTTCTACTATATGGGAATAGCAAAACTCATGTTAAAAAAAAAAAGAAAGAGAAAAGAGACATGGGGACAACACAGGGACTTAAAATCAAACAAGGAATTTTGAGTACTTCAGAATAATGCTCAAACATATTTATTCACATACCACCTTCACAATTTTTACTATATCTACATGTCACCTGCACTATTATTGATTTAATAGTTTTAACCCAACTCAACATTTTTTACTTAAATAAATGCATTTTAAAAGGAATTTAAAGGGAAAATCATTATCACTTGTCATAAGACAAAGACAACAAAAATCTACAAACAAGTATATCCTAGTGAAGTGCCATGTGTGAGATTTGCCTTAAAATTCCAAGAAATAAAGAGAGAAAGGAAAGATAAGAGATTGCTAAAATACTAATAATTACTGAAGATATATAAGGAAGTACATGTGGTTCATTATATCATCATCTAAATTTTTAGATGTTTGAATTTTTCCATTAAATTTTTTTAACAATTAAATAAAGTTCAAATTTGTTTTTTCTTTAAAAAAAAAA